GAACCAGAAGTCATTTGTTTCCATCAGGCATCTCTCATCATGGGCACTGCTCACACATGAAAGTACAGGCAGGCCGCTCCACTGCGCGTTTATACGTCCTGAGGCTCGTGGCGATGAGGATGGTCTGGAAGTCATTATGAGATGCACTTCACAAAAGAGGATGACAAACAATGGGGTCATAGAGCGGGAAACAGAACTGTTTCCATTTCTTCCATTGTAGCTCTTACAAGATCAAAGCCTCGTGACTCTCGAGTAAGTAGAGTTGAGACCAGAGGCTCCTGTCTTCCTGTGTCTTTCCTTAAAAACCACCAAGTGTCTGTGCACTAGAGTCCATATCTTTTCGGGCCCCTATATTAATAATGGGCATACGGTTAGGGAGATGCGTTTCACAAATGGCTTGGAGAATGGAGAAGATCATGATGCCTTTTGCTATACACTAAATAAAAAGGGTACCACTTTCAATGATTTAATGTGAAATGAAGAAAATAAGCCAGTATTTCCTTCTTGTAGAGCACTTGTGATTTTTATCTAAGTACTTGTTTAATAACAACCTCCTCCATTCTCATTTAAATATCTGATTTGTATTTCTTTTCTGAGTAACCAAGTTTTTAGCAGAAACTGGAACCTAGGAAGTACAAAAGTAAATTTTTGACAAATGAGAACAATCCATTTTGATCCTGTTGTACTCAAGACTCTCGGAGTTTTATCTTGTTTTAGGTAACTGTCTAAACACAGTGGTGTCACATAGTAATGGTAGAAGCTTTGATGGAGAAACTATGAGTCGGATAAGATAGTGGGAGATTTCGTTCACTCTCTTCCTTAGTTTGCCCAGCAAACCTGCGGGAACATTGTGTCATTGCCTCCAAAGAACTCCGCAGCTGAAGGACTTCGTCCACACGTGGTGAGGACAGAGCCGACACTCAACCCCAGGCAGGCATTTCTGAATTCAACTCTTGACGGGGTAGGGAGTGGCTTTCTACCATCGAAAAAAAATTTGTGTGTCAGATGTCTGGACCATTTTTTGCTACAAACTACCCGACGGCAGCCAGTGTAGGAAAATTTGGTAGTCTTTCCTAGAAATTCATTGACATTGCATATAAATCAAATTGTTTAATTATTAAATAACATAAATTAATTCAAGACGTCATAAATCCTCACACATTATAAACTAGTGGAAGAGATCTGGGCATCTGGAAGACATAACCCAGAATGTATAAGCTGTTAAAGGTAGAGATTTCAGGTAGAGATTTCTGACCTGCACCTGAACTAATAATAATTACTGTTATTTATTACTATTATTATTATTATATTTTGTACGAGACCACATATTATAAATAAGAACAAAAGCATACAAGTATAAATTCCATCTTAGCTAAAGCATGCAGATATCTTCATGAGATGGTATTTTCTGTTTCCAGTTCAGATGTGTTAGGAGGATGGATATAGAACAGGAATCAGAAAGAAAACATGTTTATTCAGATTCTAAGTACGGACTCTAGCTTGTGAGGAATGCCAGGCTGATTTCCATATCATGTAACTGACAAATCTGAATAACTAATCATAGCTACACAGACAACGCCCCACTTGCAAATGGTGGGCCCATTGGCTTAAGAGATGCTATGATAAAGGTTTACAAGGACCTCTCCCTGTCCCCACATGTCCCCTGGGGCAGCACAAAGCACGGGACTGTGTGCGGCTGAGGGGCCTGGTCTTCCTCCCGGGTCCTCCTCCCAGGACACAGAACATGTTCTGAACATCATGGGAACCACTGCCTTGGCAGCATCAAAGGGAAGTGGAATAGCAATAACGTGGGATCGACCCGCCCCGGGTGCTGGAGGGAAATGGTCATCTTGGCCTCCTCCACCAACAATCAGGGGATTGTTCACTCTCTAAGTCATTACATTCTTGTTACATTCCTCAGTTCTAAAAATAATATTTTAGCCTTTGCTAAATGTGATAGATCCACCTGTAACAATAGTTATGACTTCTTTTGTGGTTTTGAGAAAAGGCACACTCTGCCTGGGCAAAGCTATTCCAAGCTCAAGGGCTGAGGAGTTGAGACTTGATGTTTGTGTGCTATACACCGACCGACTTCCTGTGAGGTGTGTTCCTAAGCTCTCTACAGGCTCCGCATAGGAAACACTGCCTTTAAAGTGAGATCTCGTCCTGTCCTCTTTGGTTGTAGGCTTTTAGGGCGTCTTGTTTGAATGGGGTGAGGATGAATATATATCCAATTACTAGGCAAATTAACTCATTTCCTGTGAATTTCTAGAATAGCTTCAAGTTCATCAGAAATGATCTTTTGTGCACCTTGCACTTGCCACCGGATCAGCATTGATCTGGACTTGGAGTGAATGAATCTAGGGCAGAATAGGGGTGGGGGAAATGTTGTTCTCCCTTTGAACAAATGCTGAATTAGAATCTGCAGCATTTTCATAGCAAAGGGGGATCCAGAGGACCATCGAAGGAGCAAGGAGCTATTTCAGGAAGCATAACGTGGCTGCCCTGTGAGAGAGAAAGTGCCCGAATGCAAGGCTCTGTACAGACAGAAGAAAAACAATATATTACTGTCCCATCAACCCACACGGAATATGCTAGGCCTTATTTTCATGTTGCTTTTGGCATGAACCACAATACAGTTGAATCATTTTGAACGATGTTAATAGGAGAATTTGTGTTGGCAAGAGGCCAAATAAAAGCTGCGGATACAACAGCAGTAGCCAGAACTGTACACTTCTGTCTGGGGGGGTTTGCTAGTCACAGAGCGTGACGGGCAATTCCTGGGGGAACACATGCCCCCTGCTTGTAAGTGGCAAAGGCTGAAGGAGGCCGGAGAACCCAGAGGACAGGGGGAGGTAACTCACAGAGCGCAGCTGAAAGCAGCGAGGGGAGTTCCCTTCCCTCTCCAACACAGCACTTCCTCCGTAAGCAGGTTCTCCCCTTCTCTTCTCTCCCCACGCTCCTGAAAAGCCACCAGCCTGCTCTCTATCGCTATCAATGTATCAATTCTAGATACTTCTAGAATCAAACGGTAATTTTAAAAACGCCACCCGTGGCGACAGGGGCAGCGTTTGGAGAGATGCAGCTGAAACCCAGGGATGTCGAGGGTTGCAGCCACCACAGGAGGGGAGAGGCAGGAAGGACTCACCCAGAGCCTCTGAGGGCCAGGGCCTTGCTCACACCTGATCATGGACCCCGCCCTCCAGAACTGTGAGAGAATGACTTGGTGTTTAAGCCACCAGTTCTCATATTTTGTTAGGCTGCCCTGGAAACTAATTCAATGGGCAACACATTGGGAAAAGCACAGAAAACAGAAGTGCAAAGCTCAATGAATTAGTGAAAATATGTTCTAGAAGTTGCCCTTAGGACTCTTCCCAATGCCACCCCCCACCCCTTTCCCAAAGGTAAGGACCGTCACGACTTCTAACAGTCTAGTTTCTTCTGTGGATTATGTTTGTGGTGGAACCAGATACAGTGCATTCTTGTCTGCCTGGCTGCTTCCACCCAATCTTATGCTTCTAACATTCAGCCACACACATACAATTTGTGTGTCCACCTTCCCTTAGACACACGGATGCTGGTGGTGTTCGTAGTTCAGTGCTGTATAATAGTGCTGCCCTCGGCCTGCTCATGCATAGCTTTCGGTTAACGTGTGTGCCCACGACTGTTGCTTATTTAACACAGACTCTGCCTGTTTACAACCTCTGTACAAAGTGACAACTTTCTTTTTTGTTAGTCCTCACCCAGGGATATTTTCCCATTGGTTTCTAGAGAGAGTGGGAGGAAGGAGGAGAGACACACAGAGAGAAATATCAATGTGAGAGAAACACATCAATTGGTTGGGGATTGAGCCTGCAACCAGGGTATGTGCCCTTTTCCAAAATTGAACATCGGACCTTTCAGTCCTCAGGCCGATGAGCTATTCACTGAGCCAAACACGCATATGAAAGATAATGGTTCCTAGAAAATAGCATCGTTGGTAATATGTTAGTAAATAGTTTTAGTATCTTAACTGAAATTACTAGCACTTATTATTATGCACAAGAGACAAAAACATGTAAAAATGGGGTGAGATTTAAGTCCCTCAGTCCCCTGTGAGAGTGAGTTTTCTGGAGCACATTGCTGTAAGCTACAGAAAGCCCCATTGAAAATGGTTTAAAGCATCAGGAGGTTTATTGCCTAATGTCATAACCACTTCAGAGCAGCATGGTTCCAGCGAACATTACTGAGGCCCCCTCTCCAGGGTCTCAGCCCGACAGTGAACACCCAGGCGCAGCGGTTCTCCATGGCTTCAGATGGTAAGGAGGTCGCCTAGACATGTTACAGAAGAAAAGATGGTACGTGATCCCTGATTATTTCTCATGGCTGGTAAGCTCATCGGTTTGTCCCCTGATGACACGCTTCATATAGTTTGGAAATGAGGCCAATGTCCTGAACCAAATTTCACACGTGTGATGTCCTAGATGTGGGGAAAACTCTAAATAATAGGCATCTTGAAGTATTGCCCAGTTTCATGAAAATTAAAGTTTAAATTCCAGATGTAACACTGAGCAAGTGTTTCTCAAACCCAAGTGGGTTGTTAAACAGATCTCTAATCCAAAGATCATGCTTAAAACGTTATTTAACACCTTAATGCATGACACTGATTAATGCTGCAGTCACACAGGGATCCTCTTGTTTCAACATACAAGTATCCTTGAAGTGAGAGGTCAATGAAATTGAGAAAAATGCCAAGATGACAGAAAGAAAGGGCTTATTAAAATGTTTTTGGTGACAGCTATATGGCAATATCTAAAACTGACGTTTTCCCCCACCAGCATTGAATATTTCTTAATAAATAAGTAAATAAATAAATTCCCTGTGAAGATTTTTGTACAAGAATTGCATTTTTAAAGTCCCCTCCCCTCCCCCGGAACCATGAATTTAAATAGCTATTACCCACACAGATTCTATACCTACACTTGGAGGCCTCTGAGCTCACATAGACACACACACACACACACACACACACACACACACACGCACACACACACACACCCATCACACTCCCTCAGAGGGACACGATGACTTTTCCCCAGAGGCTAACTCAGTGGCACCCCCTCTTTCTCCAGGTCACCCCTCAGCCACCCCCCTGACTTCATGTCTTGTGTTCCTGAGAATCGTCTTCCTTTTGGCCGTCACTCAACCGCCACCTCATAGGAGCCTCTTCCTCTTCCCTGTGACCCTGGGGTCCTGGGCCCAGAAGCTCCCACATTCCCTGCGTGGGGGGAGAAGGAGGTGTGGAACTCGGATGGAAGGAACAGCCCTTGAGAGCAGTGCTGAGGAAAGAACCTTCCACGCCTTCCATTGCGGCCTTTGATGCTGTTCTTTCCTCCAGAAACAGGGAGGAAACTCGAAGTTGCGCCCGCATCACCCGCCCAGTGGGATGAAGAGGCATGTTCCTTCCGCCAACTGCAGGTGAGATCGATGGTCAGCTGACAGCTCATCCCCAGCCCAGGAATGATCCAGTCTAGGCTGACGGGAGTCTGCTTTGCCTTCTCGCTTTGCCTTCTCTCTACCTGTGACTTTGATTAAATGCCTGGTGCTTAAAAAACAAACAAAAAGCCTTCTTTCTAGCTTTAACTTTGAGCAGCATCAAACCCAGGAGAAGGAAAACTGATAACCTCATGTTTGGGGAAGGAGACACTCAGTGTTCCGGCACTAACTTCCATGTCTAAGCACACACCTCTCCCCGGGATCTGGTGTACTGAACTCCAGAGGCCAGTGCTCTCACCCCTCCCCCTTTACAGAGGAAGCAACAGAACATTCTAGAGGCTGTTTGCTTTAACTGATGAAGTTACTCAAATAGTTGAACTAAGTTTCAATTCTCTTCCACTTTCAGGGTCTGCCTCTGACATTTTTTAAGACTCGGCTCAAAAGTACAAATGGAGGTTCATAGACCGTA